TTGGACTAATAATCAGTTGGGACAAGCCTCAAATCTGGTCTTTTCTCTAGTCCTTGACTAAAACAACTTTTATACGAAAGGGGAGGAGCCTGCTGTCCAGTCCATGTAAACACAGCTCCAACACAGCCAGACGGAATTCACACTTCTAACTCTTTGTAGACAGTCATGACTCACAGCGAACCTACTTTTAATAAAGATTGATGTTATCTCATCTTTGCTCGAATTGCCCAAGCTTTCCGTTTTGCCCAAGAATAATTGCCAGCCTTGGTTATCAAGTAGCTTTAATGACCCTCGATCAAACGCAGTCATCTGAGTACAATAACAGAAAAACAGAACAACACTGTCAGGCTAAAGACAAAAAATCTTCCGTCGCTGAGACCAAGCGGGATGTGTCATTGAGTAGAGGGCAGGAATGCATCATTCTAGATTTTTTCTGTTTGACTAATAGATATTTTCCACAGATTCACCAGCAGGATATATAATGATGATTGTTAAATGTTACAGTTGTCCCTTAAAATGATGAAAATTATCACAGAAAGGTAAAGCAAGCAATGTCTCTCACTTTAACTGCTTAATTCCATTAGCGCTTCAGAAAAGGCTAAAGATTGACTCATACAACAACTCTTGGTGGGCCGCTTGGCCGAACAAAAAAAAAAAAAAACTCCACTACATAACATTGTGCTCTAACATAAATCCAACCTAACAGTGATAAGTGAGTATATGAGAAACAGAACACGCTGCCAGGAGTAAAAGAGCAGGAAAGAGAGGTGGGAGTGAGATTGGAAGAGCACCAGTTACCTTCCCAGAGGGCAGGTAGCTCTTGGTGGGCAGGAAGGTATAAAAGCGTAGATGAGAGAAAGAGAGGTGGGAATAAATGTGAAGGTACAAGGAAGTCAAGAAAGATTAGCAGTGATGAAGTGAAGAGGGGGTAAATCTGTGTAGGGGATGCAGACAGCGTGCGACGTGTAAGAGAGTTAAAGGTGTGAGGGTGAGAATGAGGAAGATAAGGACACTCAGGGGGAGAAGGAGAGGGGTGAGACTTTGAACCTCCAGTGTAGGAGCATGAGCACATTTCATTTTTAAAGTGTGTTTTTTTTTGCCATGCAGTTCCTTTTCCTTTCCTGGCATGCAAGCCACCCAACTGCGAGAACATCCAACCTCTCTCTTTTTTTTCTTTTTTTTGCCAAAAGAGTTTAGGAATACAAAGCTTTTGGCATCTGTTAGATTGACTTCAGATTCAAATATCTGGAGTAAATGTATGCAGGCTTTTTCCCACATAGAAATAACAATCTGTAAGTATGTATATGTATGTGTGCACAGGTGAAAGTCTACAACAATAATAAACAAACAAATGATAGTTTTTCTCTGATATTCTATTTTTCTTTCTCTGTGAAAATGCGAGCCGTCAAGCTCTGCACACAGGAGGGATTTGTGGGCATGCTCGATAGGTCAGGATGCAGGAAAGGTAAATTAGGCGTAAAGAAAATGGTTCTTTCTGCCTTTAGACAGAAAGGTTAATGGCTTTATGAGATTGCAATGACATATTACTGCAAACACCTCCAGGCAAAATAAATAATTTGATTGAAATATCTCACAGAGCAGTCGTCGCAGCCCGTTGTTAATGGAATATTAAATCCCCGGGCATGTTTAAATGTTTGAAAATGGCTTACAGCGATATGAACATGCGTATATGTGACAAGTTAAACAATGATTCACTCACAGTCTGTTACAAAGGAAAGCAAATGTGATTTTTTTTAAATGACGCCTAAATCTGTTTTAAGGTTAAAATATCATACATGCATCGGTTAGACAAATCCCCTATAGTTAAAAAAAACCATCTCAAATGCTACAATGGTGTTAATTCAAACCTTCAATTTATCTCTTTATTCCATCCATCCATTTTCTTCTTCTGACTTGCCGTGGTAGCAGCAGACTAAGCAAGTTGCCTCAGGCATCTCTTCTCCCAGCAACGTTTTATCAGCTCTCCTGGGGCATTCCCAGGTCAGAAGGGATATGTAGTCCCTTTAGCATGTTCTGGGTCCACCCCCGGGTCTTTTCCCAGTTGGACGTGCCTGGAAGCCCTCCAATGGCAGGCAACTAGGAGGCATCCCAATCAGATGCCTGGACCATTTCAACTGGCTCCTTTCAAAGCGAAGGAGCGACGGCTCTACTCCATCTGGAGGTCCAAGCTCTTCACCCTGTCTCTAAGGTCGAGTCCAGCCACCCTACACACTTCAAATTAGTTCAGCAGCTTGTATTCACGATCTCATTCTTTCAGTCTCAATCTAAAGAGGGTTGGAACGAGAGCTTTGCCTCCCGGATCGGCTAACTCTCCAACACAATGGTCAGGCACAACGCCCCCAATACTGCCGACGCTGCACCAATCAGTCTGTCCAAATCACGCTCCTACTCATTATTCTGTAATAGAGGGTTAGCAATACGCAGAAATAAATATGTTTAAAGCCTGGTACAAATAAACGGTTTTGGTCTCTAGCTCATTTCTTTATCTGTTAAAACTGTACAATGGGTGATTATTTACGTATAACATATTCCTTTTAATTAAAGTAATGCAAAAGTTATGCATAATTAGGCATAATTAGGAGCGTTGCGGATTTTACTGACCCCATTTGTTCAATCATTTTGCCTGTTTCTAGATTTGCTGAAAGCTGAAAATGCTGTTCTATAGGCATGAGAAAACACTGTGGAGGAATTCACTACAGACCAGCAGCTCCCCCTGGGGCTCTGCAGGGGCAAACTTAACCGCAAACAACATACAGCTGCATGTGTCTGTGTGTAGATAGTGTGTGTGTGTTTCTGTGTAAAGGGAAAGGAAGAGGGACTGTGTCATGATACATGTGTTTACTACACCTGTATCAGTTTAGCCCATCAGTGACAAACCACAAGAAGTTGTGTCAGATAGGCATTGAGGTGCTTGTGTGTGTGTGTGTGTGTGTGTGTGTGTGTGTATGTGTATGTGTGTGTGTGTGTGTGTGTGTGTGTGTGTGTGTGTGTGTGTGTGTGTGTGTGTGTGTGTGTGTGTGTGTGTGTGTGTGTGTGTGTGTGTGTGTGTGTGTGTGTGAGTGTGTGTGTGTCTGTGTCTGTGTGTGTGTGCGTGCATGCGTGTGTGTATGTGTGTGTGCGTGTGTGTATGTGTGTGTGTGCGTGTGTGTGTTGTGTGAGTGTGTGTGTGTCTGTGTCTGTGTGTGTGTGTGTGTGTGTGTGTGTGTGTGTGTGTGTGTGTGTGTGTCTGTGTCTGTGTGTGTGTGTGCGTGCGTGTGTGTATGTGTGTGTGTGCGTGTGTGTGTTGTGTGTGTATCCTGGGCTCAGCTGTCAGGTCTCCCTGGTGGACTATTAACGCTGACGCTTGGCTAGAGTCTATCAAGTGTCGGATATCAACATCACCCCTGTACATGAAGACACACACACACACACACACACACACACACACACACACACACACACACACACACACACACACACACTGGGGCCCTCTACCTCCTCACCTTGGTCTGATGGGATATCACTGAGGGAATGTACATCCACCACCAAAGACAATTTGTCTTGATAGCCAAGCCCCATAGCGATCTTCCTGCGCCTCATTCTCTGCCTCATCTGTGTCCCTCGGGTTGCCCGATGTGTCCGAAGGTAAAAAGCACGACCGGCTGACATGATGTTTTTGGCTGATTGACGACAGGCCGGCTCCCCCACATGAGTGGAGAAACAGCCTGTCTCCCCGCCTGGGGTTTATACGAGGAGCTGAATGAGCACTGGCACATGGATGTCGAGCAGTAAATCTCCTCTTCAATGAGATCTGGATGCTGCCTGAAAGCACACGGCGTCATTTAGATATAACTGGGGGTATGGCGCTCATTATATTTCAGTTTAAGTGGCTGCAGATAGCAGCATGAAAATAAGCAGAATTCAAAGTTTTATCAAATGAGCTGGGAAATCCTGGCAGGCCCCCCCAGCCCACCGACTGTGGATACATGGCTCTGCAGTGGGAGAGTGACGGAGGCAGATGTTCGGCTGTGTTATGACCCTGGTAATAGGACAGACATGTGGCTGTCCTGCATCCAGAGGAGCAGGTGCTGCCACAGCACAGCCATTACCATCTGCATTGATGAGATCAGGGACTCGGCCGTGCAGCATACTAGATGGTTATTGCACCTAAAGTAAAACATAAAATAAATAAATGTGCAAGCTGGTGAAGTCAGCAATCCTACCCTAAAAAAATGTGTAGAATCTTCCCAATGGGACTTGTTGAGATGATTAGTGAGTGAGTGAGTGCATATCCTAATCACATTTTTATCTTGTGTTGTATTACTATAAAATTCATTTAATACCCTATTTGGCACTCAAAATGCTTATGTGATATTTAACCCTCTCTGATTACCATTGTTGGTCTTCTACAGGGATCAGTGCGGGCAGAAATTAGGAGAGTTGTTCCTTTCCCAAAGGTGAAAAAAGAGTAATCTCTATAAAAGAGATAGAAAGATACAGTGTAATAACTGAGGGATGCTAAAAGTCGATGGGTGAAGAGTGAACTGATATTGGCAAGGGAAGATACAAGGTGGAGGAATGGATGAGGGGAGGAGGTAAATAAATGGGCTAGTATCCCTTTAACGTCTTCTGACGTCATGCTGATGCAGATATGCCCGGCTTGATGCGAGCAGAGGAGAGGAGAGGAGAGTGATGCCGTAAAAATGAAACTCCTCAGCACTAATTTCCCCATCCCCTCTACAGGAGAAGATGGAGTGCGACCCTCTACGTCACCGTGCACACAGAGAGCGGATTAACACGCGTTTCACCTCTGAGTGACAGAAACTGCAGCGAACGCGACACTTTTTTTTTTTTTTTAGTAGAAAAGCGACAATATTGAGGTCAGAGGAAAAGCGTTGCCAGGGCGACCAGTTTTGCGCGCCGGGGACCGGAGTTTGCGTGCCCTGCGAGGTTGCGTGCGTACGTGCGCGGTCACGCCAACCACACAGCGACAGCGGCAGCAGAGGCAGCATCTTCTGACGAGAATACCCCGGACCCACACTGAACAAGTCCACGTCCACGACCTACAGCCAGTCGAGGCTTGAACCAGGAGCGGCTGTGTCGGGGAGTTCTCCTTTTGGGGAGGGGGATTTTACTGAGGATTTATCGACGACGTCCCAGAAAAAAAAAAAAAAAAAAAGCTCAAAAAACTAGAGTCGCTGCGGTCATTCATTGGTCAACACAGATGACACTTCCCCGGCTGTCAAATTTAACCGAGACCCCGCAGAGCTGTCCGGGTTATCGGGGGTCATTTTTGCCGTTTTTGAGGCGTCGTTGAAAAAGACCCCCCTTTCCTGAGGTAAAAAACGGACTGTCAGCTGTGAAATTAAATAATTTATCTTACCGTGCTGGAGAATACAGGGACTGAGCTGCTCGGACAGGGAGTCATGCTACATCCTGCTGTATTTGCTGTGTGATGCAGTAGAGCAGCCTTTATTTTATTTTTTCTGTCATCGTCTCCAGTCATGAAGTACCACCTGCCGGCCCGCTTGGATTGAACGAGGCTCCAGTTGTTTTTTGTGTGTTTTTTTTCGTTTTTATCGTTTTTTTTAACCAAGCACTTTTTGCTCGCTTGGCATTTACCTCTGCTGGAGGAAAGGTTTTTGTGAAGAGGAGGACGAAGTCTCTTGACAAAACAATTGGTGGGAATCTGGCTCCCAACCACCCCCGAGCATCACAAATTAACAGGTAGGCTCACTTTACATGCTCTCTGTGAGGAGATTATTCTCTCTGAAAATCAGATTCACACACAGAAATGTATTGTTTCAATTAAGTATTGTTCTAAATTTGCATCTAATTTACATATTCAATTGCATGCGCGTGCAGAAATAGAAAGCCTTTACTGTCATACAATTGTACAAAGAGTGTGTGTGTGTGTGTGTGTGTGTGTGTGTGTGTGTGTGTGTGTGTGTGTGTGTGTGTTTGTGAGCTTGAAAACCGGCTTTGATATTGGTAGTGAAAAAAGATTTAGAATTCAGGACATTTTTGAAAATCTATTTTTTTTTTGTGGGGGAATTAAAAAAATTGGTGCCAATATGTAATTTCTGGGAAACGTAAACTGCAAAAAAAAAGCACTTGTCTTAAACATATCTGATGACAGATATCTTGTTTTCTTTGCCAGTGTGTTTTCTGCTTGCTGCATGTTTTGGTGTGTTGAATGTGTGTTGCATTTTGCTGTAAGGTAATGTCCAACATTTTGTGAATGCATCATGCAGCAAGGCAAGCTGGCTCCTTCATAACAGAGAAGATGTATCCACCACTAGACCAATAATGAGGTCTTTGGACTCAGAGATCCTTTTGGTGGAATGAGACAAACAGAGGCTGCTATTCAGTGAGGCTGAGCTAATTTCTCTGTCCTCACAACATGCAGAATGTGAAGCTTTTAAATCCCAAGCGCTTTGCTGAGATTTCACCGATGCTGTATTGGTCATATGTTGTAAACTGTGTTTTATCTGAGTATTTGTTTAAAAAGATTTAAAGGAAAATGTTGCAGGCCGACCAGTCTGTGCTGCAGACAGATGTGATGCAAAAACTCACAAAAGTCTCCTTTTTACATCCTTAAAAATGTTAATGAACAAGAGCATATTTTCATGGGGTCTTTAGACTCAAAAAGACCAGAAATGCCATGACCATGAGGACAAATTCCCCTAAATCCCCCCCTGCACACACACAAATTGATGCGCACACACACAGCAGGAAGAATGGGGTGCATTTATATGCTGTGGCTGGTGTTGTGGGGCATTCGGATCGGCAGGGCCTGCTAGATGATAGAATTCAGCAGGGACAAGAAGACCTCTGTTCTTATCTGCAGCGACGAGGAAAGGGAAGGCAGCTCTCTGCTCAGCTCACCTCGGCTTCTCTCCTTTGGTTTAGGCAGCTAGCATCCTGCCCGTATAGCAGATAGTGAAATCTACTCTATGGGGAGAAAACATCTAAATGGAGTCAAGGGGAAGGAAATATGTGCGGCTGTGCTTGTGTTTAATAAATGTTGATATTTATCTCACTGGCTAGTTTGGAAATGTTGAAGACCTGTGGAGATGTGTAAGGGGGATAAAGGTAATGCAGTCTGTTAAAGGGAGTCATTTGTAGGAGAAAAGTGAACGAGATGAGGAGACATTGTAGAGGAGTTCCTGCAGCATTGCATTACATTATATTCTCTTTTTATTGAATTTTATTGACACGTTTGTTTGTATATATGCAAGGCCACATGAAAACCTGCTTAATGCTTTTCAAAGTGGTAAGGAGCAGCAAAGCTGGAGGCAGATGTTGTTTGGTAGATTGATGCTCCTAGAGCAGGTCGCTAAGCAGTCAACAGATGCAGCGGTGACAAGGTGGGTTTGAGATAGTCATCACAATCAGTCCGTAAAATCCCCATCACTCCATTTCCTGCTGCTTATTTTACTCCTCACTATTTATTCTGTGTGTAGATAAATCAGTGACAGCAGCCCCCCCCCCCTGTGCGCTGGGATGTTTTTTCTGACTGGGTTGACAGCAGTCGCTGCTAATTTTAGGTGAGAGATGTCATCAGTGTAAAAAAAATCTTCAGCATTATGGCAGCTGACATGTTGACTGGAGAACAGGGGACCCATCTGATGAATGCTGGTGAAATTAAATGTTTGTTTAGTAAAGGCGAAATGAATTAGTAAAGCAAAGGCTGGCTGAACACCAAGTCCTCAGGGAGGCGCTGTTGCTCATATCTCCCGTCTGTTATGAGAAGCAGATGAAGGAGAACAATTTGTCAGTCATCGCTTTGAAGGTGCAGTATTTATTTCAGGACTGCTGGCATAGTTTTGTTTCCCCAACAGTAAGTATGTCTTGTACTTCAGGCTAACTTGAGTTTAAGACTATATGGGGCGGCTGTGGCTCAGTGGTAGAGTCGGTCGTCTCTCAACTGGAAGGTTGGGGCTTCAATCCCCAGCTCCTGCAGCCACATGTCCGATATGTCCTTGAGCAAGACATTTAACCCTGAATGCATGTGTATGTGACTTCTGATGGTAACACAGCAGCCATCAGTGTGTGAATGTGTAGGTGTGACCTGCAGTGAAAAAGCACTTTGAGTAGTAAGAAGACTAGAAACGCTCAATACAAGCTCAAGTCCATTTGAAGTTGAGAATGTCAAAAGTATCTCTCAAGAAATTGCATAGTACAGTCATATTTCTTTTTGTAATAACTAGCCCAGTTAAACTCAATTCCAAGAAAGCTTACAAAAACATGAAGGACATATTCTGAAAATGTGTTCAGTTTTTGTGCTAAAACTATTTTGGTTGTGGGTGTACTGTGGATTTAAAGAACACTTCTTATATCGAGGTAATAGAGAAATATGTCTCCCTGCGATAGCAAAAGCCTGTTGCTGTGTCATCATCAGTGCCCAGCGTTTGATCATTTCAATTTCAATTACGATTTTGACTTTGATTTTGATCTCAATATCAATCAAAATAATCATGCTTATCATTTTTTCCACGATTGAACAACCCTAGTTATCATCTATGCAAACTGTACCTGTGCCTTTTGTTGAAGATAATAATGCTGATTGAATGGAGTATCTCAACAGTGGATGCTGTGTTCTTACAGCCCGGCTTGGTAAATGATAACAAGCAGTTCCCAATGGGACTCTGCGTCTCCTCCCTTGAGCACCAGCGTCCCCATGTAATCACCCAGTCTTTTATATTTGTTTGTTGACAAGCGCATGCTACCTCTCTCTATTCATTGGATTATTTCGACTTTTCAATGAAATCTGTTCTCTGCTTTTGTAAGACCATATAGACCTGCTAAACTCTTTTATTGCCATTATTCCTCATTCATTGTAGTTATTTGTTTCTCTGCAACCCAGTGGTTCAAAGGGAACACAGCGATGTTTGTAAGTTGTGTGCTATTGCTATGCAGCATCTTCTTGTGAGGAAGCTTTATGTTTTTCTTTTAACTGCTTTTAATCCTGTGCCATCGATCCATCGTCTGTTTGTAAAGGCGTTAAAATAATCAAAAACCATGTTTCAATATCAGCTGCTGCTGCTTTATCCAATAGGCTGGAAGCTGTTTTTTTCCTTCTTGAATGATAAAGCCAAGGGAAACATATTTCCTGGGGCTGTGCAGAGTCATCGAATATTGCACTGACATTTCACATAAAAACTAAACAAACCTCAGCATTAGCATGTCATATTCACCTCTCTTTTACAGCTGGCTATAAAATGACCTGCAAAGTTGAATGTCCAATTTAGTAGAATCATGCAGCGCATACTGTCTACTGTTGACCAGACAATATTCTTTCCAAGTAAATTGAAGGGATGAATATAAATGACTTTATTATGTATTTTTGATGATTGTCCTCTGAGGCGAGTACCTCCATCTTCTGAGCGTAGTCTTGTCTGTTTTGTTGTGGTTCTCTTTAGAGTGCTGGACTCCCACAGTCCCTCCACAGTGGCCACTCTCTATCCTTTGTCTAAGGCTGTTGAATAAGATCTTTGCTCTCTGGGGTTCAAAGATGGAATTCAAGCTATTACTTGTCATCATTTTTCCTCTCTGTTATTCAGCTTTTGTCGTCTTCCTTTCCTCTTCATTTCTCCTGCATTCTGCCTTCATTTTGTTTGTTCCCTCTCACTCTTTCTGTCTCTCTTGTCTTTCCCTCACATTTGTTTTTTTTTTAAAATTTCTACCTCTGTCTCCTCCTCACCTTGTCCTCAAACCACCACGTTGTCTGTCATCCTCGGGCAAACTTTGCTGTAGTGTCCCCAGTTACCTTATTAAGGTGAGAATCAAGGTCAAACACCATGACACATTGGATCAAAAACAAACTGATGTGTGCTTTCAGAGTCTCCAGCCAACAGCTGCAATAGCAACCCTTATATCCCCTTACCCCTCCTATCTCCTGCTGGAACCAAGGCTGACCACCGGTCAAGATCAATGGATATTTTAGTCTCTACTTCAAAGAGATAAACACCCAAGAAAGTCAAAAAAAATAGCAGGAAACCACCCAGAATACCCATTACTCCCCTGTATGGCTCTACATTCCCCCTTGACAGTGTAAAACCTGCAGAGATTAAAAACCACTGTCGAGTGATACTTTTTTCCCAGTGATTTTTCTTAAAGAAATAATTCCATTCATCACAGAAGTGCGAGACTACAATGGGATTTCCTGCCTGCCGTGTTGGAGAGTAAGATCCTGAATAGAAGGCATGAAACAGATTTGATGGAATCGACAGCAGTCAAGTCAGCAACAGCTGGGATTAAATACATCCTGCTTTCTGGCCAATCAGATTGACTGACAGTTGGAATCCATGTTCCTCTGAGTAGTGCAGCTCATCCCTTTGGCAATTGGTCGACTTCCCTTTATTGTCTCCTTGTGAATCCATGGGGAATTTCACCTGCATGCTTTGTTTTTAGTCTTTAATACCCCTTTGCAATCCCGTCATAGTCGAGGGATTTTACACAGAAATCTCAGTGCTACATAGCTTTGGAGATTAATGTTATTTATTACATTGTCTCTTAAACACCGAGCTACATTTTATTTGTGTCTCTAGATCACACACTGTGGTACCAAAGCCATCGATGGGGAAGCAGATAAATTGAGTGAGTTATGGTATTGACAGCATCTCAAGGTCAGGTGTAGCCACATCTCTGCGAGCACTCCACAGTATACCCTCAGCATCGCAAACAAGCTCAGGGTCAACAGGTCTGGAGACAGGCGGATAGGC